ATAAACTGATACTGTTATATTTACTTTCTTTATATCTGTCTCTGTCCATTGGAATTAAGTATACCCAGAGAAGCAGTTTGTCTTTTTCTTTAGTACAGAGAACAGTGGCTGGCATCTAGCATTCATTCACTCAGTAAATAATAGTTAAATGCATAGCTGGCTTACTGGTTCTTGTCCAACTGTTAGTTTCTTGACGTTGATCTAGTTCCTTCAACTCTACATGGCATTGCATAATCAGTGTTTTGAACCACATTCTAAATTTGAATTACCTTTAAGTGGCACATTTGATCTTGTAGTATCATATTATATTTGACAGAATTGCAAAGGCTATACTCATTTACATTCATTCATGTAAGTATAAATATTCATATTTCGCTTTCACTAAATATATGAAATCTAAGTATCTTCAGTGGCAATTAAAGGTTACCAAAGGGTTCAAACACTGGAATAAGGTGTTACTACTACAAAGAAAAGTGCATAATATTGGTTTTCAAGTGCAGTGGTGGTTTCTTAATAAAATTTTTGAATTTATTAAGAACTCGTTTTGGTTTGGCTTTTTTATATCCTAGGATACTGTCTGCTTAGCTGCGGACACAGACATATTTTCTCTCAGTATATTTAAAGTGACATCTTTGATAGCTGCCACAGGGTCACTCAAAGCAGAATAGAAGAGTGCCTTATGCTACAGCTTGGTCCCTTGTTGAAACATTTCATAGCAGGCATGCTTCTCAGCAAATGTCTAGATGTGCAAATTAGAATGTGGTCTACTTTTTATGACAGTTGTAACACATACCATCTGTCTTTATAAGGTTGTTTTCATCATTAACTGTCAGTCAATTGGATGTAATAAATTCTCTCTGCGAATATTATTCATCAGCATCACTTCAGTTGAGTTTAAATCAACAGGTGAACAACTCACTTTTAAAAATATGAATGGAATTTAAAAGGAATTATGACTTTCTAAAACATAACTATCAGAATGTATCTTGTGGTTTCTCGTTGATCTTGTGGATTCTAAAACCAAACTATATTCTTTTTGATAATTCAACTATTGTAGTTTTATAAAATATTGACCTTCAAAAAGTGATAATTTAAAATATATAGAGGAAGGTGGTTTGTATGTATTTTTGTCAATCATTTGTGTTAATGTTGAGAGTCTGTAAGTAAATGTAGAAATTAGTTAAAATTCACTGTAAGTTTTATTTGTAATATTGTTCAAAAACTTATTTTTTCTCTGAGGCTCACAATCCAGAATTATTAACTTAAAAATTAATGTGTTTCCTTACTTGTATTGACTTCAAGCTAATGACCCACAAATCAACAATCTCACTCTTGCTATTTTACTTGCATTCTAGCCATATTTTTACAACAAACTACAGGACATTGAACATTAGATTCCCCCTTCCCATGCCACATTTTCCAAATATTTATCTTCTTTTTCTTAAAAGTGATTCTTCTACACACTCTTTTCATTTCTTCAAGTGGTTTTATTATTGTTTCAGTCTCTTGAGCTTAAAAATGTACTTCTCCTTCCCCCTTTATTTCTGCCTCTTTCCCCATAGCTAAGAAGTCCAATTAGATCTTCTCTACAGTGTCTTAAGTTTGTGTCCCTTCCTTGCCAATCTCCTGCTGCCCATTGCAGTAAAGACCTAGATTACCTCATAAAACTATATTGGTTTCCCAGTTTATTGCTTGAATAAACATGACATTGCATTGAGCAGACATAACATTACTCCCTTCCTCAAACATCTACCATTTAATCTGATCCCATTTATCTTTAGATAACTTTGGTACCTTATCTATTTTTTTTTTTTTAACCATAGATCACTGTAGCCTCAAACTCTGTGGCTGAAGTGATCTTCCCAACACAGCCTCCTGAGTACCTGGTACTACAGATGTGCACCACCATGCCCAGCTAATTTAAAACAAAAACAAAAACAAAAAAAAAACTATAGAGATATAGAGATAGGGTCTCAATAGTTTGCCCAGGCTAGTCTTGATCTGCTGGCCTGCCTCAAGCAATCCTCCTGCCTCAGCCTCTGAAAGTGCTAGGATTACAAATGTGAGCCACCGTGGCTGGCCTCTTACTTATTTTTAGCATAAACTCTCCGCTTCAGCTTCATTTGAGATCTCTACTATCATCTCTTCCCTTTTCTCTCTGTATAACTACCTCACTGCTGAGGGCCATATTCCTGATCTAAATATCTTGATTTGCTGTGGACTTTCCCAGTTTTGTCCTTGAAAGCTTGTGATCCAAGAAACCCTTCTGCCCCAGGCAAAGGGACATAGTTGTTCTCTCTACCTACTTCCCTAAATCAATAAACAGATTTTTGTAAATTAGATCTGCTATGTTGTAGGCACTTCGTTGTAGGCACTTTACTAAATGCTAAGAATATCTGAGCAAATAAAAGACATTCCGTCTTCTCCAGTAGTTTAGAATCCATAGGTGAGATATGCAATTACAATATGGTACAATACATTAGGCACAGGGGCACCTAGCTAGCCATGGGGATTCAGAGAAGGATTCCTAGGAGAAAGAATACAGGAGAATGGATAGAAGCCAGGTGTAGTGTGGAGTTATTTTTGGACAGGAAAACTTCTGGCTAAGTGAAAAGTTTATACAAGGGCTAGAAGATTAAATGAAATGTGTATTCTAGAACTTCAAGTAGTTTTGTCTGTTTATAGTGTATTAGCAAGAGGGGTGGGAATAAAGGAGTGGTGATAGATGTGTTCAAAATGATGTCATATTAGAAAGACAGTAATTACCTGGCCATGCGATTTGGAATTTACATAGGGACAAATGGCAATCCTTTGCTAAGTTGTGAGTAGAGAAGTAACATAATGAGATTTAGAAAGGTCAGTTTGCACAACATGGATTAATAATGGTGAAGCAGTAAATATAAGACAGGAAGATGAAAGAACTAGGAAGCTATTACAGTGTTTATTCTCAGAGCTAACCTTTTTCAGATATCCTTCCATTTGAAATATTCCACCAATATCTTCCTCTGCACTTTTCCCAAATTTACCTATTGGACAAGTCTTGTAAACTCATACTTTCTCCAGTCCTTTCCTTACTCTTCTAGCCCTCATTGATCTCTTGCTTTTGTGATTGTTATATCAATGGCCATCATCTTTTCATTTAACAGTTACCCTCTAATTTCTCTTACAAATTATTCTAGTCTCCCAGACATGCCAATTACTTGAAGACACAGATTATCTTTTTCTCACCTTAGCCAAGACAATTCACAAAGACAATGGTTTAAGAAAAAAAACTCAAACCTTAAATTTGGGCTTTTTTATTATATTCCAAACGTTCAGTGCAAAAATATTAATGACATTCATTCAAAAAACATTTTTTATATTATATGTTATTTCAAATATTGTGATATCTCAATTTTAATTAGTAAAGTTCCTATAAGGAGAAAGTGACGTTTCAAAAATAATTGGCTGCTTAACTGTAGCTTCCTACTTCCAGCTTATACTGTCTCTCCTAAAGTTCCAATAATAGAAAAGGTAGATGATACCTTAAAATTGGAAACTGGATATATGCCTTCCTCCTCCTACTTGTAAAACATGTACAAACTTTCTCTTCTGCCTCCTCTTTCTTTCAAACTCTTTCTTTCAAACTCTTTCTTTCCTATGAATCGAATGGTGGAAGGTCATGACTGGAAAGAAAAGTGTTTGTGTAAATTGGAGAGACTGTGCTGCATGGGACAGGATTAGATCAGCCTTTACCTGCTCTATCATTCATTCAACAGCTGTCTGATGCCAGGGAGCTTTCTAAGCAGGTTCAAGTTTATATGTTCCCTTTTATTATTCTAAGTATATATAATAACATCTACATAGCAGGATTGTAGTGAGAACTAAAGTTGGACGACATAGTTGGTACCCCCATGTGTACTAGCTATAACCATAATGATGATGATTATTAACCTGCATTATGAAAACTAGATTCATTTGGAAAAGTTGAGGATTGTGACTTTTCAGGTTGTGCTTCTATCTTTATTCAAAAAGGGCAACAATCATCAATGGACTGTCACCAGGGTTTTGGAGAAAAGTGCAATATGGAATTTAAAGGGCTTTAAAACTCTTTCAGTTCCCTTTCTGAACCATTTCCTCTTCTTGTTCTTATCTGCTTCACATACTCATTATTTTCATGTTGCTTTTTGACTAAGTTTATCTCCTCTTTGATAACTGTATTATTTTATTCCCCAAATTTATTTCTCCCACATCTACCTAAATTGGAATTCCTTTTTCCTATTACTGCATAGAAATATACAATATCTAGGTAAGAAATAATTCCCATAAAGAGTAAATAGAAATGTCTTTCTCCTTTCTCTAAGGAAAATACATATTTTGAAAGTGGAACTTGATAAAGTATATAAATTGCTAATTGCTGTGTAAGTTCTAGGAGTGTCTTAGAGTTTTTAAATCTCTGTTTTCGTTACTTTTTCCTATATTCCAATTGATATTTCACTATTATTAAAATGATTTTTTCAGCTTATAATTATAACAGTAGTTTTTGTATGCTTTTCACATGATTTAAACATTTTCTTCTTGGTTCAAATACCATGTTTCATAATGTTTGACTTTTTTAATAACAGGAAGTATTTTTCTGGTTTTTCTACTTTATTATAAAAATTCACCATGGTGGTCTGTGTTCACATTCCTTTGAACAGATTCCTCTTTACTTGAATTCTAAGAATTTGTTTTGTATATGTAGTTCACAGTTTACCAATTTAACTTTTAAATTTCTGAAGTATACCAGTTAGGTGCAGTGTTGCTTTTCATGTGGTTAGAAGTTTTAAAATGATCTGTGGTCTTTTTTAAATGTAAAGGAGAGAAAGCAGTGAAGGGTCAGAAGTTTCTGCAGCTTAGAATTTCAGACTTTAGAATCTTATTATGAATTATGGTAAAATTGGTTTCTTCTTTTTCACACAATCTTACTTTAGCAAGGCGAATAAAATGGTAATTCCCAAGGACTTTTTCTTTTTAAACAGGTGATCAAGTAGTCTGGACTGGTTACTATGGCTTAGTGTATAACCTGGTGAAAATTTCATGGGAACTTCAAGGAGATGAAGAACAGGATGGACTTAGAAATATAATATGGCAAACATTGCAGAAAACAAAGGATTATGAGAAAGATATACGAATCCAAAATGCAATCAATATCGCTCAGGTAAGGTAAAACGCTAGGCAATAAATATGTACATCTATCATTAGGAAGCATGGTTGTCATTTCTCTCCATGGTAAAAGGAATGTCTACATTCAGTGAGTATTAGCGACTTACAGCTGAAAATAATATTTTTAAAACTTAACACTGATCTATTTTTGATTAAAGATAGGAGAGTTGAGCTCTAGATGATAGTGTAAAGGCCTCCAAAAGTCTGTAATAGAAACAGAATTAAATTCATTTAACACATCTAGGGAAAAGTACACCTCAGTAAGGGGTGATTCCACCATAGAACTCTAACTTGGTGGGAAATTCTGATAGAATGTTAGGTACACTAGATTGAAGTAACATGTTAAGCCGTGATTCTTTTTCTCTTTTCTTGATGAATACGTTTAGAAAGTAATGGAAGTTTTAAGGAGCATAACACAATCCTCTAATTTGAGGGCTATGTTAGGATGAGCTGTGAAAGAACTGTGTAGGGGTGCTTTTACTACCTCATAGCAAGGGCTGCCAAAAGAGGCAGCTGTGGGTAAGATTCAAATAGTAGGGGTAAGGGGCGGTTTTATGATGTAGCTTTTTATGATGTTAGGAATCCAAAGACCTATTCTCTCACTTGAGGAGCATTTCCTCCCTTGTCTAGTTCAGTGACCAGAAATACCAGGAAGAAGGCTGAACATAGCCATATTATGACACTAGACTAGAGAAAGGGTAAAGGTGGCCCTAACTTCAGAGATTTCAACACACATAGAAAATGAATAGGTAAAGGTAAAAGTTTCTTTGCTGGGTTACCCACTAGCTCCAAGACTCTTCCCTCTCCTCTCAGCCTGCTTGACTACTATATTTATATTTATATTTAGATATTATACTATATATAAATCAACCTGTATCAGCTAGCCTTCTAAATTATAATTTAGAAGCTTAAAGGGCATCCTGTAGTTAGTGAGAGGATGTAAGAACTTCTATTTTTATATTTTGGGTAATAACACATTAAACAACTACCATATTAAAGTAAAAACACACAGAAACATCTGTTTTTTTCAATGCTGTATCCCAATACACACAATAAGTGCTCAATAAATATATGTTAAATGAACAATCCAAATGGGTTCCCTTTAAATATTAAAATACATGCTATAACTATGTTTAATAATTAAATTTAATATTGATGAAATTAATGGCAAAATTATTTTAAGATAAAAATAAAAATCAATAATTTTATTATTAAAAATAACAAAATTAAAGAGTAACCTCTGCAATTCTTTGGAAATTAAACATGCTTTGATAAATGATATGGTTTGTCTATGTCCCCACCCAAATCTCATCTTGAATTGTAGCTCCTGTAATCCCCATGTGTCATGGAAGGTACCTACTGGGAGTTAATCAGATCATGGGAGTGGGTTTTTTCCCATGTTTTTCTCATAATAGTAAATAAGTCTCATGAGATCTGATGGTTTTATAAAGACAATTTCCCTGCACATGCTCTCTTGCCTGTTGCCATGTAAAACATGCCTTTGCTTCTCCTTCACTTTCCACCATGATTTTGTGGCCTCTCTAGGCATGTGGAAATGTGAGTCCATTAAACCTCTTTTTCTTTATAAATTACCCAGTCTTGGGTATTTCTTCATAGCAGTATGAAAATGGACTGATGCAGTAAATTGGTATTGATAGAGTGGAGTGCTGTTGTAAAGATACCTGAAAATGTGGACACAACTTTGGAACTGAGTAACAGGAAAAAGTTGGAACAGTTTGAAGAGCTTAGAAGAAGATAGAAAAATGTGGAAAAGTTTGGAACTTCTAGAGATGTGTTGAATGGCTTTCACCAAAATGCTAATAGTGATGTGGACAATGAAGTCCAGACTGAGGTGGTCTCAGATGAAGATGAGGAACTTATTGGGAACTGGAGTAAAGGTCACTCTTGCTATGCAAGGAGACTGGCAGCATTTTGCTCCTGCTCTAGAGATCTAGGAACTTTGAACTTGAGAGAGATAATTTAGGGTATCTGGCAGAAGAAAATTCTAAGTGACAAAATGTTCAAGAGGAAGCAGAGCATAAAAGTTTGAAAAATTTGCAGCCTGCATCCCATTTTTTGGGAAGGAATTCAAGCCTGCCACAGAAATTTGCCTAAGTAGCAAGGAGCCAAATGCCAATGACCAAGACAAAGGGGAAAATGTATCCAGGATATGTGAGAGACATTCCCAGCAGCCCCTCCCATCACAGTCCTGGAGGCCTAGGAGGGAAAAAAAATGGTTTCCTGAGCTGGGTCCAGGGCCCCCCTGCTTACCGCCGTGCATCCCAGCAACTCTAACCATGGCTAAAAGGGGCCCAGGTACAGCTCAGGATGTGGCTTCAGAGGGTGCAAGCCCCAAGCCTTGGCAGCTTTCATGTGGTATTGGTCTTGCAGGTGTGCAGAAAACAAGAATTGAGGTTTGAGAACCTCTGTCTAGATTTCAGAAGATGTATGGAAATGTCTGGATGTCCAGACAACAGTTTGCTTCAGGGGCAGAGCCCTTATGGAGAACCTCTGCTAGGGCAGTGTGAAAGGGAAATATGTGGCTGGAGTCCCCGCACAGAGTCCCCACTGGGGCACTACCTAGTGGAGTTGTGAGACGAGGGCCGCCATCCTACAGACCCCAGAATGGTAGATCCACTGACAGCTTGCATTCAATGCCAGCCCATGAAAGCAGACGGGTGGGGCTGTCCCCTGCAAAGCCACAGGGGACAGAGCTGCCCAAGGCTGTGGGAGCCCACCTATTGCGTCAGCATGATCCGGATATGAGACATGGAGTCAAATGAGATGATTTTAGAACTTTGAAGTTTCATGACTGCCCTATTGGATTTCGGACGTGCATGAGGCCTGTGACCCCTTTGTTTTGGCCAATTTCTCCCATTTGGAATGGGCATATTTACCCAATGCCTGTACCCCCATTGTTATCTAGGTAGTAACTAACTTGCTTTTGATTTTACAGGTTCATAGGTGGAAGAAATTTTCTGTTTTAGGTGAGACTTTGGACTCGGGACTTTTGAGTTAATGCTGGAACGAGATAAGACCTTGGGGACTGTTGAAAGAGTATGATTATATTTTGAAATGTGAGGACATGAGATTTGGGAGGGGCCACGGTGGAATTGTAATGGTTTGGCTGTGTCCCCACCCAAATCTCATCTTGAATTTATGGTCCCATAATCCCGTGTCCAGGGAGAGACCCAGTGGGAGGTAATTGAATCATGGGTATGGGTTTTTTCCACATTGTTCTTGTGATAATGAATAAGTCTCACAAGATCTGATGGTTTTATAAAGGCCAGTTCCCCTGCACATGCTTTCTTTCCTGATGCCATATAAGCTGTGCCCTTGCTCCTTTTTCAACTTCTGCCATGATTGTGAGGCCTCTGCAGCCGTGTGGAACTGTGAGGCCATTAAACCTCTATTTCTATATAAATTACCTAATCTCAGGTTATTTATTCATAACATAAAAATGGGGTAATACAATAAATACTAGAAAGGAATTAATTAATCTATTTGTAAGCACTAGCCATTGTTTTGTGTGCTAGCAATACAGTTTTAGACAAGCAGATAAATATTGTTTTAAATATAAAGTTTGGATCAAGGAGACTGACAATAAACTTGCAAATTAATGAATTAAAATATCAAATGGTGCTATCTATACTATGAAGAAAACAAAACAGGGCAAAGCTACTGGAATGGGATCAGCTAGAGTAGGGAGTGGATGTTTCAGTTGGAGCAGCCAGAGAAAGGTTTCCAATGAGGCATTATTTGAAATGAGACCTAAATAAGAAGAAGGAAGTATCCATAAAAAATATACCCTGGTAGTGAGTTTATGGATACAAAAATGTGACCTACAAAATGTGTCCTCTAAGAAAATAATTAGTTTGGTGTGTTAAGAGAGCAAGAAGACCATGTGTGCTGGCCTCTGGTAAGGGAAGGAAAGAGTGGTAAGAGATGCAGGTGGGCAAGGAGAGTTCTTTTAAGATGGCAATAGTAGCATATAAGTAGTAAGCTCTGGGAATAATTTTTTAAATGTTTGTAAAAAATAAGAAAAAGTTTCAGTGGGAAGTACATTTAGAAAACTAAAAGCATGCTATAAAAAGCATAGAACTGATAAATCCTAAAATTGTTTCCTTGGGTAAAATAAAAATAATACATAAACTGTTTTAGACTAGCTAATATAATGGAAAAATGAGGGAAACTTTTATTAATCACAAAATCCAGAGGGTAAAGGGAATGTGATTATAAGAAAGTAATTTGAAAATGATTATAAAAGGATCAGTTTACAACTGTATGCTAATATATGTGAAAATATAGTACAATAAATGATTTTCTAAGAAAATATAAATGATGAAAATGGATTGAAAAAAGGATATAAAAATCTTAACAAACAAGATTTAGAGAAATTTGCAAGTGACCTACTAGATTTGTTCATATGAATATCAAGGACAAGACGAAGATATTCATTAGTATCGCTAATATTTAACATAGTTATTGACACACTAACCTGTGCACTCATATTTAGCAGGTAACTGAATATATGTTGGGTCATAACTGGAGAATGTTTAAATCAAGTTTGTCGTACCAAAGCAGTAGGTGAGAGTAGCTTAAACACTTGGGAACAGAGAAGAAAATAATTCAGTTTAAATTCCAACTCCACACAATCTCTTTATACAGATGAGACTTGGAACAAGTTATTCCTCAGCCTTAGTTTTCTTTTTTTTTTTTTTTTTGCGGGGAGGGGAGTATTTCTAATGCTCACAGACAGGGATAGTAACTGAAAATCACATAAGAGACAGGAAAGCTGAGTGATTTTGAGAGCACAGACCTACAGCAAAGGTTGCCTGGGTTCAAATGGCTGTTCTACCACAGAATATCTAAGTGACTTTGGGCATATTTTTACCTCAGTTTCTTTCTCTGAAAATGGGGCTAAGCATAGTATCTAATGCATAGGCTTGTTATGATGACTAAATGAATTCATGTTATAAAACATTTAAAGTTTTT